GGGGAAAATCAATTATTTCAGGGGGGTGTTACTGTAGGGTCTCCAGCAGGGGGCTGGCAGTTTCGCCCTACTCTGGGGGAGGCCCTGGGCTGCCTGTGCCTCCCTCCCCACAGCCCTCTCGGCCCAGCCCATGCCTGGCCCAGAGTAGGATGACCCTTTGCCTCCTTGGCCAGGAGCCAGAGTGGCTCCAGTGCCAAAGGAAGACTGAGGCACAGATGAGGATAAGGCTGGGGGGGGCAGCAGGGGAGGCAGAGCAGGCTGGGGGGGCTCCAAGTGGGTAAGAGAGCAAGAAACAGAGCCAAGGTCATGGCCTTGTTCTGCAACACCAGCACCTTTCAGCCACATCCCAAGAGTCAGCCAGGGGGCCTCTTACAGTAGTGCCAAAAGAAGGCAGGAACAGCAGGAATACTCCCCCCCCCGCCTCAGTTTCCCTGCTCTGCACCCCCCTAAGCCTGTTTCAACCTCTCTGTACTTCAGGTTCCCTTCCGCGGTCCACTTCTCAGCTTTTTGCTTCTTCCCCTGGAAAAAACAGGAGACCCCACCCCAGGGCTGCTCCCAGAAACACAGGAATTGGGAAAGTAAGGTCAAATCCCCACGCCAAAGGGGTTTCTGCCATCCTCCCACCCATGAGAGATACACGAAAGGCACCATTTCATTTGTTTATTACAAACTTTGCCCCCCAGGGGCCACACAAAGGTACAAAACTTGCATTTTTGTGCTTCCCCCCCACACCCCCCCAAATACTATGTACAAAACCGAAGAGTACAAAAGGTGCCGGTCACAAAACAGGTTTGTCGCGACAGGACGGATTCACGATGTCACAGTGTCCCCCTCCCTCAGCGGGAGTGCAGGGCAGCCAGAGCAGCACCCAGAATTACAGAATTAGGATGGAATTAGTTAAAACCAGAATTTCCTGCCCATCACAAGTCATGACAAGGCAAGGACAGGCAGTGTGTTCCAACAGTCACAACAGCCAAGGTTTTCCAGCTCTTTTCCAGCCAGATCTGCCTTGTCTACCCCACAGTCCTTGCGGCTTCTTTGCCAGCTCAGAGTGCTGGGGTGCCCAGGATGGCCCTGCAACAGTGGTTCCTCGAGAATGCAGCAGTTCCTCGGGAATGTGGCAGTTCCATGGGAATGTGCACTTCCCCTCCAGGTGTGGGGCCAGATGTGCTGCAGGCGTGTGGCACATGGAGCCGAGTCCAGAAAAGTGGGAGCAACCCGCCGGGGTGGTGCTCACTGGACATTGTTGTTGGCGACACAGGGATCCACCTGGGCGATGGAGCAGGAAGCAGGTGAGGGATCCAGGCAGGTGATCCCAGATCCACCCGGCCCGTCCCGTGCCGGCGCCGCGCTCACCTCCGTGTACGTGGGGGGGGGCATGAACTTGAACTCGGGTGCATACATGAAGATGGGGCTATCAAATCCATCGGGATCATCCAGGAGTGGTGTGGTGGGGCTTTCCAGCCGGTGATCCTCGGGAACGATGTCCAAGTAGCACGGGGGGGCTGTGGGAATGCAGGGAGGGATTGGTGAGCTCACCTGTGTGCAGCCCCTGAGCCACTTAGGGGCTCCCCACACTGTGATCCCACCACACAGGGATCCCACCCAGTGGATCCTGCTCCACTCACCCTCTGGAGCATCCGGGAGGTTCAGGTCCACCCAGCTCATCTCAGAACTTGTCTGACTGGCCATGCTGGAGCTGCGGCTCCCAATGCCCGAGCGACTCCCAATGACCAGTGGCAGCTCCAGGATGATTTTTTTGGAGCCTGGGACGCTGACATAGATCTGTAGGAGAGCCAGGATTTAGGGGTGTTTGGGAAAGGATGAAGACCCCCAGGATAAGGAGGAAAATGAGGGGGAGGATGAGGGGATTCCCCACTCACCTGCAGGAAATACTCCACACGCAGAATGTTGCAGCCCAGGATAGAGGGTTTGAGCTTCCGCACACGGATGGTTTTGCCACGCCAGGATTCGGAGGTACCAGAGATGATGTGATTGCCACGAACACAGGAGAGTTTCTGGCAGAAGACCTTGGTCTGACCATTGGCCAAATACGTGTGCTTGGCCACGATGGCTGCCTTGGGCACCACGATGCGGGAGCAGGTGTTCTCAAAGTCCGCATTGATACAGATCTCATCGCCTGCCAAGGAAAGGACCCAGACATTAGGGATGTCAGCGGTTTCCTTACTGATTTCCCCACTCCCAATTCCCTGTTCCCAGCAGTCCTCACCTTCACAGAAACCCTTCCTGTCGATCTGGGCACTCACAGACACACGTCCATCGGGGATGAACATACATGACACTTTCTTCTCCTTCTTGGCTGCAACTGGAGACTGCAGAGAGAGGGAACGGTCACACACTGGCCCCATCCTGTCCTTCCCACCCTCCACCCTTCCTTCCTCCCTTCCTTCCCCCTTTTGCAGCCAACCCTCCAATTCCCCTGGAGTACAGAACAGGCCCCGCCCAGTGTCAGTTTCTGGAATTATCCAGAACTCCTTAATCTCACCCTTAATCCCACTCAGGCCAGATCTGATTAAAGACACCTAGATGCCACCGGGTTGAGCTGATCCTCCCCAAGGGCTTTTCTCCCAAGCCTTTAGAGCACTTGGGGCTCACCAGCAATTCGGGGGTGTTCACATCCACAGGATCCATCACCTCAAAGCGTTTTTTAATCTGCTGCGTGGGGCAGGCCGGACGCTCCAGAGACGCCTTCACCCAGTAATCCACGCAGCCGTACTTCCCCTTGAACGTGGTGCCCAGTGGCCTACAGACATGCAGGGGGTCACTCCAGAGCCCAAACATGCATTTTCCTATTTAATTCCATCCCCAGGGGTGGGTGCTGCCTCATACTCACCCCTGGGGCAGCTCAAAGCCAAATTTGTACTCATACTTGTTCCCAGGTCTCAGGATAACAGAGCCATCCTCATCTGGAGAACAGAAGGGGAGGGAAACATCAGATGCAGCTCGCTCCTGGGTGATCCTCCATTCTAAGGGTGTTGGGTAACATCTGTCCACACCCTCAGAACCCCGTGTTCTCTCCATGCTGCTCACTTCACCTCACCAACACCCCAAGCCCCCGGGGCAGAACACAGTGTCTCACGAGCTCCACCCCACCTCCAGCTGCCCCTTATCTCCTGGCTCCAGCCCGAGGGTGTGATCCTGTGACACTCCCTTAGTATGCCACCAATGTTACCAACCCCTGTGGAGTCAAAACACACCACAGGAGTTCCCCAGGCTCTGATTTTAGCTCCAAAACTTCAACCTGACTTGGCCAAACCTTCCAATATTCCTAAGTTTTCCTAGATTTGGTCATTTTTCCACAGCATCAACTCTGTCCTGGTGGTCAAGGAGCTCCACTAGGATGCACAGCATCAACGTGGCCAATCCCAGGGGTCTGTGTCTTTGTCCCCTCCCAAACCCTCTGCCCCCATCCAGCCCCACCACAACCGCCATGTGGCCAAGCCCTGGGTCAAGGTTATGAACCCGTGTTTAAGGCAACCCTTTCTCCCGCTCCAGCCCCGTGCCCTCACCCGTGGGCTGTTCCTCAAGCGCCAGCACGTCCTCGAAGCGCAGGTACTCCATCTCCTGGCGGCACTGGGCCGGCCCCCTGGCCCAGGTCACCCTGGCCACGCCGCATGCCAACACCTTGACGGCGCTGACGCGGGTCACCTCGGCCACCTCCACCAGCACACGTCCGGCCACCTTGTCCCCGCTGCAATAGACCTTGTCGGGCTCGCTGAAGGCCACCATGAAGCTTTTCACCTTCTTGAACATCACCATGGCTGGGACAGTACGGGGACGCACAAAGCAGTGGCTGCGACGCTTTATCCCCGTGGAGCAACAAAAGTCGCCCGAGACAAGAAGGTCCGGGGCAAAAAAAGAGCGACCGAACGCTTTGTTTTGAAGCGCTCCGAAGCCCCCAGCAACCACTCAGCCCCGGCGCCCCACCGCTCTGCGCGAGACGCTGCCGCCGCTGCCTTTTATAGGCTCGG